CTGGAGCTGTCAGAATCATCTACTGGCTTTTCAGCTGACTTCCTGTCAGGGTTCTCAGTGAGGGAATTGCTGTCACCACTCGCAGACGGCGTAGGTTCTGAGTTGATTGGTGTTGTGGACATGTCTGCATCAACTGGATCTTCAGGTTTGTCTGAGAAGGAGGCGGTGGGAGTCTCAGTGGTTCTGGACTGGTCATTGGTAGACTCCACAGCGGTTCGCTTTGCCACATGTTCCTCTGAAACGGGCGTGGTGGCCTTTCTCTTCCCCAGGAGCCGGCTGGTCAGCGTGGGTCTTCTCAAGTCCGAGGCAGACGTACTTTGTTCGCTATGACTGGATGATGTCGCTATACCAAACACAACGCAAGCAGGTCAACAATGATGAGAAGGAGACTGAATTAACACAAGGATAGGTCAAAATTCAGCAGAGTTGCAGTGATTGGTCAAACAAGATTAAAATACAGAAAACATTAATGTGAATATGAACAAAAATGTATGTTGACTGGTGAACATGCAAAGTTTATAGGTAATTTTGCGAATGATAAGTGAATTTCCACTGGAAGTTATGATAGCAACATTGTGGAGGGACAGATTAATTACAATGGTTCACTTTTTATCATGCAACAGCCTCCTGATCAAAGTCCTGACTTTGAGTAGGCCATTCCCAAAGCCTTTGAGGTGGACTCAGAGGTGGACTTCTAGTGAGCTTTGTATTTTTTTCTGATGCATAATCTACGTATGCTTGAGTCCAAGGCCACAAACTGATGTTGAAATTCTTCTGGTACCTGTGACTATTTACCAAGCAAAAAAATCAATACGGGATTTTCATTAGAACTGAATCATTGAAGTCAAAAGTTGAATTTCTCTTCCAGTTTCAGAGTCGATCATGCTGTTGCAATCAAAGATCAATCTGTGTTAAAGATTTCAGCACAGATTCAACCAAAAAATTTGAAAAGCAATGTTAAGAATTTTACCATTTTCAGTAATTTCATTTCCCCTAACATGGTTATCTAAATTTGTTTAATATTCAAATTTACATCACACAGTTTTATGGTTTTCTTTCTTCAAAATTAAAAAAAACATTTTAGCAATCCCAAAGGGAAATACTAATTAACTACAAACAATGTTTTACACTAAACAGATAAATCTCAGCGCTGTTACTTTAAAGAAATGATTTGATCAGTGATTATAGCGCATTCTGTTGAAACTATAAAGCACCTTTTCACATAGAAATGCTTTTCTAAATTGATCCGTTTGTTTCTCCTGGTCAGGATCTCCAGTCACCACCATCAGAACCGCATTTAGCTTTTTAATGTTAAGCTGCAGAGGAATGCTGCGTTACAAGCTGATAATAATAGGAATCTTATGGCAACAGCAGTTAATAGCATTCTATGACCGGAAGTCATCAACGTTAGCTAGGTTAGCTTCTTCTAGGTACCGGTAAACCGTAATAGAGTGTGAATATTAGGTTAATTATGTGTGTGTTGTCCAGTTACAAGTCAAAAGTGTGTCCTGTTTACCTGCAGCACCCCGTGGAGGCGGCTGTCGTCTCGGTGTAGGCGACCGTATGAAGCTCTTATCAAACGGAAGGCTCTGGTAAACAACTTTACACCTGGACTCAGGGCAGTGGTACGGTCCGGACGGGCTAACGCTCCACAGGTCTCCGATACATCTTCGGCAGAAGCGGTGGCTGCATTTCAAGGTGACGGGATTTTGGGTCATAACATCACAGAGAAGGCACCTCGCTGGTGTTTCGAGAGATGCCCCCATTTTGGTTTGGCTAGTTTCTGTTTCCGCGACGGCAGGAACATGGAGGCGGAGCCAAATTTTGAATCCCGCTCTCCCTGGAAACGAGTCTTAAAGGTACAGTACACATTAGAGCAATCGACATCTGAAACAATATACTACAACTACTATTGCTACTACTACTACTACTACTACTACTACTACTACTACTAATAATAATAATAATAATAATAATAATAATAATAATAATAATAATAATAATAATAATAATAATAATAATAATAATAATAATAATAATAATAATAATGCGTTACTTTAAGTCTATATGTCAACAGACATTTCTTTGGCGGCATCTGGTGGTCAAACACATGAAGAGCAGGTTGAATTTGTTTTTTATTATGACTGAGAGAGTTTGGCGGTAGCACTGTTGCCTTGCAGCAAGAAGGTCCTGGGTTCGATTCCTGGCCCGGGGTTTTTGCATGGAGTTTGCATGTTCTCCCTGTGCATGCTGGATTCTCTCCGGGTACTCCGGCTTCCTTTCCACAGTCCAAAAACATGACTGTTAGGTAACAGTCATGGTCTCTCTAAATTCTTTCTAAATTCTCGCTGGGTGTGAGCGTGTGTGTGCATGTTTGTTTCTGTGTTGCCCTGCGACAGGCGATAGGCACCAGGACCTCCCGACCTCATTTGGGATAAGAGTGAACAGGAAATAGATGGATGGTGTTTGGCATCTGTTATATGTTGTGGTACTTTGAACATGTGTTTGTTGTGGGGGAAAAGAAGTTTTTAAAATGTGGTTGATGAATAATGTTGATAAATGAACTTTCCTTGTTTGAACACATCCTGTGGTGTCCTCTACTGGTGACTTTTGACATTTAAACACAACTGTAAAAGACTAAAAAGCATAAATAGATAAGATAATTTTATAATAGTTTACATTTATGCTTGTATATGTACATATGTTAAAAGGTATATTGTATATTGTAACTTGTGTGTATGATGTATTTTTCATGTTTGTACATTGCCTAGGGAAAAATGGCTTACAACCTGGTAAAATAACAAAATGCATATAACGCAAGTAAGGCTTTTCTTTGAGACCGTTTCTCCAGAATGACTGAAACATCAAGTTATGAGAAGAATACAGTATATAGGGTAAAATATACATAGATTGCCTTATTTCTTCCCTTTTCTGAGGATAATTTAGATAAACTCTAATGCTGACTTTAGAGATGGATGCACTCCTGGAGATTGTGAGTAACACATGCATTTTAGTAAATTAGAATAATCCACTTTTAGTGCATTTGTCATTGTTTCGAGAAATGAAAGATTCTCAGTTTTACCATTGAGGATACTTTCTCTGAGACAGGATGCAAAAGTTACTTTGATATTTTGGCGAGAAATCACTTTATTGTTTGTTTTCTGTTGTCTTTGTCTTCTTCTCCTCCAAGTAGACATTGTATAATAAAACAGGGCATTTTCACCCCGTTAGCAATAGAATGGAAACTGTATGTTTTGGAGTAGAAAGCAATTGTTTAGCGAAGCGAAACAATGTGGAGGTGTCCGTTTAAATAACTCTAGCCATTAAAAAGGTGCCATTTCCAAAACTTTTCTCACACTCAGAAAATCTGCAACCTGAAAAATAAACTATCACTGTCACAGAAGTAAAGTTTATACACAGTGAAAGTCCCTATTAAGGTGAGAACTAACAATACAGTTTATTAAAAAATGTATTTTAAAAAAGGCGACAACAAAAGCTTTGATCAGAAAATGTAGAGGTATTGGCAGCCATGCTGTTGTTTCCCTTTAAAATGTTTTATAGGAATAAAGACTAATTGTGGCACGCTTGTCATTATGGTGGCTTAAACACGGGACATGTGAAAATAAGATTATATTTACTTATGAATGAGACGTTAATCTCTCATAATCTCTCAGACTTCCAGCCTAATTGTGTTGCCCTTATGGTCAAACTGGTGACGTGTTTTGAAGTTGGTACAGCTACAGCAGCTTCAGGAAAAGGGAGCTGTGGGGTACCAGCTGCTCTGGTGACCGCCGACTGTCAAGAGCAGCACAACAGAACTTAAATACCATTAAATGTCAGGAGAAATAACTGTTTGACTGAACAAGATTAATTTGAAGAATAAATAAATCAATTTTGACAAACTTGATGTGTCTATAATGCTGCTAAAATAAAACAGTTTTATGATTCAATGGATGACAAATAGTGAACTAAAGAAAAAAAAAGAATAGTCTATTTTTTGTACTTTTGTCTTAATTACTTCTTGCCAGTTCCTCTAAACTAATGAGATGGGGTGTCACCTTTACTCCGTCGCTCTGGTTCTTTGTCTTGCGTCTTTGCTGCACATCATTGACATCCAAAAGAGGAAATCATTACTTACAAATGGAGAAAAAAATTATCAACATTTTTTTTTTTGGTATAAACTATAATTTAATAAACTGCTGCTTTGTGCTTCTTCTATTTTTCCCATTAAATTTTATCAAATTGTTCCTAAAATGCAAACCTGGTATCAGTTCTTAACCAATTCTTACTCTGAATGAACAAGGTCTATGAATATTTTAAAAAACTGCAAAAAAAAAAGTCTGCCTATATGTGATTACATTTATTGGGAAGTTTCAAACTCAGAATAATACTAAAGTAACTTCCTTTATGAGTGATAAGAATGTATAAATGTGTGTATTAATGGAGGGATCCACTCCTTTCCTGCTTATTCACTCTCCTCTCTGGCTGCGTTGCCCGGACTGAGAGCGATGTCGTCCTCCAGATGGCAGAAGATTAAAAAGCACGTGGGAGGGATTTCTTACAATGCTGATGGCTTTCTTTCTGTTCATTGTCGATGTTGGGCAGAAATCTCAAAGCTCCAATTTTAGTCGATTTTATTTTTAGAGATTAAAGTCTGTTGATCACTCTTCACTTTTCTCCATGATTGTGATAGTCAAGAAACAGTCTGGAGACTAACTAAACTAAGTGATTTTTTTTTCTTTCAAAAAATATATGCACATTTATGATAAAGAGTTTCTATTCAATAGCACTGATACTGGTTGTTAAACTTGGAGAAACCTTTTTGCCAAAAACTCTCTTCAGAGATTTCATGTTATTTCAGCTAAAGTGATGTTTTCTCTGCTGAGTTTTCTTTGCGATGAGTGGCCACAAAAAACAGTGCCTATTTCATATTACCCCTGGTAAATGTGTGTTAATATAAATTCATATTAATCCGGAAAAATAATCTGAAAAGACAATAATAAATCCAACCATTTAATTTGAGTTCTCTGGGGATTATGAAGAGAAAACGGCTCATAGCATCACCAGATATTCACACTTTGATTCACACCACAACTACATGGAATGAGTTTGAAACAAAGGTCAAATCTTAGGCTCCGCCCACACGTAACCAGGTACTTATGGATCTGGTTACACAATATCTCTGCCACATTGGGTAAAAAGCAAATAAACCTGTATAAGAATGCAGGTGATCATTGTTTTAAACATGTTAGCTAAAACCTACATCAACCAATCAGAATCCTACAAAACAATCACAACTTCCTGTCAGGAGTTAAATATGGCACCAGGAGGTCAAGTTTTGTAGGTTGAACTACTTTTAAGTAGTCTACTAGAATATGAAGGTGATGAAGTACAATAAATTGTGTCAAAGAAAGTATATATGCAGAAACACAAATATGTTTCTAAATTTTTCAGACTTGGGTAAAGGTTGTGCTTTTCATATATATACACAACTCTGGAAAAAAATTAGGAGATCACTGCAAAATTACCACTTTCCCTGATTTTATTTTATTTTTTTAAATAGTTGTGTGTTTGAATAAAATTAACATTGTTCTTTTATTCTCTGAACCACTGACAACATGTCTCTGAAATGCCGAGCAAAAATGTCGTATTTATTAGTGGGAAATGAGAAATGGTCAAAAAAAAAAAGATGCAGAGATTTTAGACCTCAAACGATGCGGGAAAAACAAGTTCATATTCATTTAGAAACAACAACACTAATGTTTTAACTCAGGAATAGTTCAGAAACCAATATTTGAAAGAATAACCAGGAGGGTTTCAATGAGGTTAGGAGCATTGCCTTTTCATAATTAATAAACGAACCCTCCTTTCTGTTAAGACAGGCATAAAACACAGCAGAGGCTTACAGTGAAAACCTTTATTAAGTGTTCATAGTCTTAAATGAATCTTTTTAGTTGCTCTAACTTACTGATTTATCAATATCTACAGAATATCTATTTACACAATAACATGTGCACGAGTCAAACGTCCGTCTTGACTCGAGTTCAGATGTCAGCCACGCCTGTCGCTCCATCGCATTACCCTGTACGTCCCAACGAAACAAACAGAGCAAGGTCATTAAAGAAGGACCCACCTAGAGACAAAGACAGATATAAGATACACAAGAGGACGGCTAACTGCGTGTGAGGTTGGCAAACTATTACACTCATATCACACTTACAGCGATGCTGCGTGTTCGTGCATGCTCTCATCAAACACACATACGGTTAAGCTCATGTAGCAGCTAGACGTCCTGCAGCTGGCAGTTCAGATAGCCGCCTTCACAGTGTCGATACGCTAACAACAAAATATTAACGCCCCTCTCAAACTTGAGCACTGTGCAAAGTTGGGTAGTAGATAGGATGTAGAACAGGTTCAGTTAAAATCCTTGTAGATCACTTTTAAATATTGTCTGTACACACTTTGTAATTCTAGTTGCCTCTGTCGTATGATAATATCACTACAAAACAGTTTTAAATATCTTTTTCAGGGAAATAAAGTAGCATATGAGAAAGAGAGAGTAAAGTAAAACCTTAACTTTGTTTAACCTAAACACTACAGATTAATCCGATATAATTGTTTTTTTTCTTCTTCTTCTTTTCACAAATAAAACATAATACTCATTCGGACGATGACACACACATTTTGGTGTTAACATAGGTTAATACTTGTAATTACATTTGTGTACAGACTGGTGTGAGAGTTGGAACATGTGTGGTTATGCAGAAAGAGCTTCAATGTCTCAGGTAGTTGGATAAAGGATATTCCATACGAATGCTGTTCTCCTCCACAGAATAACAGTTTGTGCCCTTGCCATGGTCTGTGCATTGGTGTGCAAGGGTTAAGTCCTTTGATGACAAACGGCGCTCTGGGCTCTGTCTAAGTGCTGGAAACAATGAAAGGGAGCGGTGTGGATGGATGTCAAAAGTAGGTTACAGTGGTGAAAAGGAAGGCTGTCTGGTTCCATTGTTTTCCAATTCACCGTCGCCTCTGTCTGCTTTCCTGAAAAAGGTTGTTGAACGACTGGTACTGAAGAGGATCGGACAGACGGAACGAAGCGAACCTGCAAAAAAAAGAAAAAGATGTTGACTGAGCAGCGGACAGTAGCTCTGATCAAATAGTTACAAAACTTAGACTTTTAAAAATAAATGTGCTTGATGGAAATACTGCAATTTAGCACAAAAAAAAATTGTATTTTGCAAAATTAACTGGTAATACTTTTTCTTTTTCGCATCACACAGGTCAACAACTGGACATTACTACTGGCAGAGAATACAAAGAAGATGACAGCAAGTAGATGGATGTTGATTCTTATTTTAGTTGCATTTCACAGCAAAAACACCAAATCTTATTTTAAGTCTCGATCCTAGTGCAAATATCTTATTACACTTTAAATAACTCCAAACTAATTTATAAGTATCTCCTCAGCAAGCTTGTTTTAAGTAATTCCTTACAAATAGTGAAAAAGTCCTTGCTCCATTGATAAATTTGCTTATAATAAGACAATTTCTCCATGTTAGAATGAAAGAATCTTCCTAAGGAACAACTACATGTTATTAAGGAATTATTTGCTTAAAATAAGTTCCTTTATGCTGCTAATAAGTTACCTTTCAGTTAGTTTTGCCTTAATTCAATAAGATATTTGCACTAGAAACTCGATATTAAAACAAATTGGGGGAAATTTAAAGCAGAAATAAGTTAAAAACAAAATTTCTCTCTGCACAAATGTACATTTTCACTGTTCAGAGGAACAACGTCCAACGAAATCAAGAATTTGGGTCAAGAATGTGTGAAAAACATCAACTCAGTGAGCTGAATACAAATGCAAAGCACATTAAAGATTTTAATTTTTAATATGTCCTAAAACATATTATTACTATAGCTCAGAATTTGGTGCCACATATGAATGAGAAATAAGTGGATGTTGTTGTAAATGTTGCTTTTGTTGAACTAAAAAAGTACTTTAGATCCTCAAGTCTATTTATATGGATGCAAATAATTTTAATATGTTCTCCTTGAACTTACCTAAAAATCAATTAGGCATTTCCTCCTTCTGTAAAAAAGCAGAAATAAAGAGAAAATTAGAGCAACGCAAGTAATATACTGTCTCCCAATTAACAGGACTATTAATAGTGTTTAGCGTAATATATTTTATGGTTTAGCTCTATTGCCAGATTCATGTTTTATTGCTTCTTTAATTAGTGTCTAATGTCTAGAGGTATCTATTTTCAGTCTGGTGAAAAACACATAGGTTTTCATAAATCAAATTTCTAATCTTAAAGCAAATCTTAATGCATAAATTAAAATATTCTTGCTTCCTCGAGGTACACATTGTAAAACATTTAGTTGTGTCTACTGTCTTCTACTCTTTAAGTCAAATAAATGTATCCAGTTTTAGCTGTTGAACCTAAATGTGAGTTTGTGAAAGATAAACTTACAGCAGGAAGTTGTGTTAACTTTTATTAATTCAGTCAAACCTCCAAGAGTTGAATAAACTAGAGTTTTTAGGTTAGCACTTAAAAAACTGAAAGAAGAAAAAGACAGGAGTGGGAACTATTTCCCAGAATGCTTAGCGGCTTGTTTCTGTATCCTGAGATGGAAGTGCATTACATTTATCTGACTCTGGTGTTTTATTAAGGAAAATGTTTATTTTAATGCAATTCTCAGTTAGCAAAGCTTGAGGATAATGTCCTGTTCACACTAAATGTTTCTGAGCTGAATTCATTGTTTAATAAAATTCATTATCAGATCAGAAATTTTGTTCCTGCAGTTTGAAACAATAATTTAAATAATTCTAAAGTAAAATAAGTATTTTAACTTGATATTGTGAGTAAAATAATAGAGAAATGTGGCTCTTTATCTATTTTTGTTTTTGCGTATTGTGAAATAATTCTTTGGTTTAATTTGCAACGTTAAATTAAACCAATTTTAACTAAACTGACAATTTAAGATTTATGAAGTTAAAAAACAATGTTTAGAGAACTTGTCTCTTGTTGTTTAATCAACTTAAAGAACTCTTGGAAGTTTGACAAAATTAATAAAAAGTTAACAAGTTAAAAAGTTAAACTCAACATTATAACATAGTAGACACAACTAAGTGCATTTAAAATGTTTTACAGTGTTGTAGTAAATGTGGCAAACTGGCTGAGACCTTTTATGTTTCCAGTCATAACATGAGAGGCTGAATGCAGAACTGCTGTAATATCTGAAAGAACTGCCACTGAAACAAGCTCATTATGCTCAACAAGCCTCTCTTTGTTCCCCTCATTATTCCAGTTCTAGCCCTGTGATGTGTTTTAAATGCAGGCGGTAAATTTAGCTGTAAATCTGCTTGCAGTGTTTAATCTGAACACCGATTCAAGATCAGTTCTCCTTCTTAGATTTTACCTTCAACAACAGAAGCCAAACTTTTTCCTGACACTAGATTTGATATTCCTGAAAGACATAAAGCATCAAATTTCATCAGATACATATTTGTACCCTTGCTCTCAGCCAGCAGCTCCTCCGTCATGAGTCCGTCCTGCCGGTTCCCCAGGACGAAGGCCAGGAATGAGAGGATGAGCGCGTCCAGGATGCCCATGATTGCCAAGATGTAAGCCCAGCGCACTGAACAAGCTCCCAGACTGTATTTGTCTGTCTGCTCTCCGCACATCCGCCGCACTTCATCGCTATCCCAGCCATCAGGATAGATCATACAGCCCAGCACCAGACAGACACCTAACAGAGAGAAGACAGAGCAAATACAGAAGTTAGAGCTGCAGTGTGAAACCTAAATAAAAAATATCTGAAACCAGTAGCGCCTGCAGCTGTGCAGCTCTACACACTGTACGTACCTTCAGAGTTTTCTTCAGGTAAAAGAGAAGTTATTAGATTATTTTTATTGTCTAACCCTCTTTACTATTAACAAAATTTTGTAATTTCTGTGGAGGTGGTCACGTGTCCATCCTAAACGTAAATGTTATTGGTCAGTTCAGTGTTGCTTACTTTGCTGCTTGATGCTAAAACGAATAAACTGAGTCTGAATCCTCCCGTAGTTCTAAGAGGAGTTGAGTGATCCCTGCTTGAACTTTTTTCCGTGTGCAGTTCTGTGTCACCGGTTTATGAGCTTTTTTTGTGTTGTTTCACAAACCGAGGAGCTCACCCAGTTGGCCGACCGTGACATCTGCTGCACTCATCCTGAGCATGCGCTAAGACTGCGGGTAAATCAGTTAAATCTAGTTGAGACTTTGTCAAAAAGAGTAGAAATTAAGCAAGCATTGTTGCTTCACCTTCTCCTCTGGACGTCTGACAAATCACCTGAACCTGGGAACCTCCATCCTCCACTTCCCATGGGTCACACAGGTAGGTTTTGCTTTCTTGTCCTTATTAATTAGTGTAATTAAAAAAAAAAGAAAAGCTGATTAGATTAGCTGTTTTTGTGGACCATGTGCTTTATGTGCATATGGCCTGTATTTGTGTGGTGTTTTTTTTATTTTTTATTTTTTGCGACATGCACACATGATGCGTGTAACATTTTGGGGTTGTGCAGTGATAATATTATGCAACTCTCCAATAATATCCTGCAGGCGCCTCTGGTTGAAACTGTCACTACATTGTGACAGTCTGATACTGGATTGATAATTTGTGAAAAGAAAATTAAGCTCTTCTGTGTCTCCCAATGCTAACTAGAAACAACCAATCAGAGCCAGAAGGAGGGGCTTAGTGGTGTCAATCACAATCTTGTGGCTGTGTTCATTCCAACTTCCTTTCTCTCTGTTAAGCTGCAGCTTCTTCCTGTTGTGGTGAATGCTAATCTAGCTAGCATGGACACCAATGACGACGGATAAACCGTTTTCCTGGAACACCAAAATAGAGTTTCTCCGCCAATAATATTTGTAATGCAGTGAGTAGTTCAAGTTCAAGTTTGTTATAAAGCACAAGGCAGTTCAAAGAGCATTACATCGTAAAATCACAAAAATACAAAGTTATGAAACACATTGTCAACAACATTTTGTCTGGTGCCATTATTACACATCAGAATGTTAATTAGTGTGACATTTATTATGTTTCAAAAGGAAGGATTTAAAGGAAGTCAGTGTTTCAACTGTTTGGCAGTTTTCAGGAAGTTTGTTCCAGATTTGTAAGCTGATTGACAGCACTAAGTCCCTCCTCCTACCTCTGATTGTTTTTTTTTGTTAGCATTTCTTCAGACAGCGAGGTCTTTTCACAGATTAAAAAAAACAAACTTTTTTTTTTTACACACTGCATCTTTACATTGCAGTGTAATGATTTATTTTAAGGCTGATATCCAGAGAGGAAGGACTAACTGAAATCATCTTCTGGTGTAATTTCCTTGCAGCCTCTCCTGTGCTTGCATGGTGTTGCATTTATCCTGCTGATTTCCATCCCGGCTCTTTGCCAGCGGGTGAAAAAGCAGACAGTCAACACCAAAATAGAGCTGAGGAGAGTCATGGAGCGAGTAACTGTGTCTCAAATCCATGAAAGCGTGGATTTTGTTGCATTAAGTCGAGCTTGTAACCTGGACAATCTCTCTTGAAATCATACAGCTTTTAGCTTTCTCTGAAGTGTGAAGACTCTCAAATGTTCATTTAAAATGAGTTTCCTTTCTGTGGTGAAGAAGCAGCACCAGAAATTCAAGAGCTTGCACTGGTCTCTTTTAGTTTTGGCCCCAAGGGTAAAATTCCTCTCATCTTCAATTTGAATGCAGATCTCCTCTGCTGCATCCCAGCAAAGGAGCTGAGTGTACATTTATCCTGAGCGCAGTCTACATAAATAATAAAATAATCTGTTTTTTATCTCCCTAACCACTTTTTAGCATTGCATCTCTTGATGATGTGAGTTTCTGTTCCAAGATTATTGTAGTTTGCCACCTGCCATGCAAACTTAAAAGGGAATATTCATATATTTCTCACAAATCCTTCGCAGCACAGAGACACTGCAGTTTGTAAGTTATTCTGCAGCCCCAATAATTCTGACCTACATCAATTATTAAGAAATATATCCATGTGAGAAAGGGAGTAGTGCAGGAATTACAGAGCCATATCTTTGCTTCAGATTGTGCAGCATACCCTAGAAACAGTGGGAATCAATCGTCTGTTGTAGACTTTACTTCCTTATCCCTCTGGTTTTTGTTGTCATTACTAATTCATATTGACACGGAAATCCAGAGCAAAAACTACTCAACCAGCAAACAGCTGACTTGACTCATTTACTGCCATGTTGAACAAAACTCAAACGTCACAGTGCTGCTCTACAAGTTCAGCTTTTATGAATGAATGGAGTTCACTTGGCTTGTAGCAGGCAGCAGCACCAGATTACACAACAAACCCACTTCCCACAAGGGAGACTTAAACAGGCAGGGATACGGCCTCACAAGCACCTGAGTCACTCATCTCCACCAGAGCGTAAAATGTTGTAGGATCACTGTCTGTCAAACGTGCTTCAGGAGTCGGCCTCAAGACTCGGGTTCAAAGCGAAGGTCACTGAGGCCGACGGCTGCGTTTAAATCCAAAAGAGGACTGCTGTTTCTGAAGAAGGCACTATGCTTTCTTCTTCTGGTTGCACACACTGAAATGCATTGACTGGCAAATGTCAGAGAGCTGTTGAACTGCTGTTTACATAACAATTTACCAATTTTGTTGTGCATTTGGTTTCATAGCTTTGTGATTGAGGAAGAGAGTGAGGAAATGAAAGAGATGACAGGAAAGTCTGCTTCTATGTTCTCTATGAGTCCTCATGCATTCTTTTTATAGATCCTTCTGTGTGCCCCCCACATGGACTTGGCTTCATCCGATACCATCATGAATATTACATGGAGGCTCAGGTGGAGAGAGTAGAGCTACAGAGCTTTAAAGCAAGTAAGAGATTTTGAAAAAGAAAGAATAAGGGAGCAGATGAAATATCATTGGAACTGGAATTGTGACCCATTGCAAAACCTTCACGATTATTTTTCTCTCCTTTCTAGTGCAAACATCTTAAAAAACTAACGTATTATTAGCTTTTCAGCAAGATATAAGAGCTTATTTTAAGTCAATAATTCCTTAATATTGATGAAAAAGTGCTTGTGTACCCAGGTTGTATTTCCACTTTGTTCTAATTACACCAAATGTCTTTTTTTTTCTTGTCCAGATTCTTGCTTTACCTGACTGTAACACCTCGGAAAACTCTGTCATTGTTATAACCGTGTGACTTTAAAATTGAGAGGCCCTCCCTCTAATTCTTCTTCTGTGGTATTTTTGTGAAATTGTTTGCATTCTTTAGGCCCTCCTCTTTGTCATGTTGTCCAGCGGAAGAGATAGCTGTTGTTTATTTTTTTATCTAAATACAGCCAGTTTATTTATAGATTTTTATAATCACCATTGTCACATATAAATCCATTCATTAATGTGAATATTTTTAAGTGAACTAATGACAGTAAAGAAGCAGAAATTAACTTTAGTTTTGCTATGTAATTTTGTTTTTGTGAAGGATTTGGAGATGGCAGCCATAACATGCAAAAAGCATGTTGTGTTTCCAAGTATTTTTATCTAGTTATAGTGCAAATATCTCAGTGTATTTGATCAATATGCCATGTTTGATCTCAGACAACAGATTAATAACAGGAAGAGAACATGTTTTGGTGGCAATACACAGTGTACCAGGAATGCACTAATCTTCAATCACAGGCAGGCCCAGTTCGTCAGATGAAGTCTTGCATAACAAAACATTTCATTAAATAAATCAGAGCATTAGCCCACCCCTTTGAATTTAGTATGTTCACATTCCACATTTTATCATTTTACAGCCAAAAATTTGTAAATGTACTTTATTAATGTTTTATTTACACAACAAAGAGCAGTGCAAAACTGAAAAGAGGAAAAGAAATGTATATATATATATATATATATATATATGGTGGTATACGCTTTATGCCCACGAGAAACGCTTGGACATTTCATATAACTACCTAAATTCCAAATTATGTGATATGTGTGTATTTATCACATTTGTTTATGGTGAAATTTCTCCATCTTTATTTTAAATGTGAGGCTCACCGCTATTGGTTGAGCGCATGGCTTCCTGCTCTGTGATTGGTTTTGAATTCAGCTTCTCCTCTCTGATTGGCTGAGAAAAGGGAGGGAAAGGGTCCGACAAAGTGGAGTTCAAAAACGCAGTAGTCGGAGCGTTTTCAATGTTACAACAACGGTCTTGACTGAAAATAACGAGAAAACAAGCTACTGCAGATGGGTTTTTTTAAAAAAATAAACCATCTGCACCTAAAGTCCAGGGTAGAACCCGCCATTTTCACAGCCGAAACCATCGATAATGGGGTTGATATCAACATTACCTTGGTAAGTGGAAGTGGCTAGCAATACAAATTAGCTGAAGCTAGCTCAATTAGCAACTGCTTGTCATCGCTCAGTTAAGGTATTTCCAGTAACATTTCATTTAATGTAATAATGACAAATGTTCACCACATACAGTATTAAATAGTAAACTGTAGATTCATCTCTTCTTAGAAACAGCAGCACAGCTGACAGAAAGCAGCTGTCAGTCAGAGCTAAGATAAGCTAGCAACTGACTGCATAATCCTGCTCTTTACCTCCACCTCTCCTATTCTCAGGAGAGATGGGGCAGATCAGGCAGGCAGGCAGGGAGAGTGAGGAGACTGATTATGAGGTAGGATGAGCCAGAGATTGTGTTATATATATGTGTGTGTGTGTTGGGTACAGTTTGTG